TGTGTGTATGTGTATGTGCATGTGGGAGTATATGTGTATGCATTGTATGTGCATGTGTATGTCACTCCCCAAGTGCTGTTCTCCTTCATTTCTTTTAAACATGTTCCCTCATGGCCCTAGAGCACCTCAAATAGGCCATGACAGCTGGCCAGTTAGCCCCAGAAATCCGCCTGCCTCTGCCTCCCCAGTACTGGGATTACAAGCTTGTGTCCAGCTTGTAATGTGGGTGCTGGGGTTGAACTCAGGACCTAAGGTATGCATGCTCCTCTCATGGGCCAGTCCAGGTGCTGCCAGATTCCAGATGGAAACCTGTGGAACCTGGGAGTCTCAGGTTCCGCTTCTCTCAGGTACAGCTAGAGCACTCAGAGCAAGGTCTGTGCACGAGGGTCCCAGATCTCACAGGGGCTGAGGTGCGGAGAAGAGTTTCCAATGTGCCATAATTAGCTCTTTTTTAATGAGATTGCCAGTACCAGATGACAATGGACACTTGGGCGTTCCAAAGCCGGTGATGATGTTACGGCCCTTTGGTTAAGCTGCCGTGTTAATGGCAGAGGACTCAGGTGGACACCTGTGCCAAACACAGGTCCAGCTGCTGCTTTGTGGTCAGCAGCTCACTTCCTCTTCAGTGGTGACCAAGGGAGCTATGGCTGCCAGGCCAGAAGCCAAGCCCTGAGGGTCCAGCAGCAAATTCTTCACAGAGGAGGGGAGCCCGTCCTTTCCCAGGATAAATGATGAGCCTCAGGTGGTCATGGTGGAGGAATGAAGTGAGAGAGAGTGAACCAGGTGCATTATAAACCTTGGGCAGCGGGAGGGGTTCTGGGGCTGAGTATATTTGATTTGATGGGACTAGGGGTGCCAGGTATACCTCATTTACACAGTCCTATTGTAAGAAGGGGGACACAGTACTTAATGATTCTGTGGGTGGAGAACTCCAGGTGTGGTTAGAGGTCATTTGCATATCTCATCCTTTGCTCTTCCTTTCCCTGTCCCCTCTCCCTTTCCTCTACCCATCTTTCTGTCCTGGTCCTGATGATTCTGCCTTGCCCCAGGCCTAAAAGCAATGAAGACAGATGACCACAGGCTGAACTTTAGTGAAACCTCAGCCAAAACAGACTTCCTACTGCAGGGTTTTGTTTTTCATGAATTTGGTCATAGAAGTAGGAAGGGTCCCCTGCCTTGGGGTCACAGTCACAGTGAGTCACAAGCACCCACCCTTCTCTGAGAGCTGGCCGAGGCAGGGAGTGTTGTCTTCATCACAGAGCAACTGTGCTCAGCCCCTCAGGGATGGCCAGGGCCAAGACTAGGCTATATTCCCCCCCCCCAAGTTTCCCCTCAACAGACAGATCATCTTACTCCAGTCTACAGTTGAAGGAGTAAACCTGGCTCCTCATCCTTTTCTTCTTGCTGGCGGGAATTTGCCTGACTGTTCCTGTTCCCGTGTCCTCTCTCCTTCGTCTCTGACCACCATGGCCTTGTGCTCTGTACCCTGCTTTACCTCTGTGTTCCCTGCAGTCTGAGTGTGATCTCCCTCAAGCCATTTTCAGGACACCTGGAGTCAAAAGAACCAGGCTCTCTCCTTGTGTTAAAATTTTTTTTCAACTTGACACAAATTAGAGTTGTTTGGAAGACTCACCTCCAGTTGGACCGGCTTGTAGGCAATGGTGTCGGGAATTTTCTTGATTAATAGCTGACACGGGAGGGCCCAGCCCACTGGGAGTGGGGCCACCCCTGAGCAGGTGGTCCTAGGTTGTATAAAAAGGGTAGGCGAGCGAGCCATGGAGAGCAAGCCCTTAAATGTCACTCCTTCATTGTCCATGCTTCAGTCCCTGCTGCGAGTTCCTGCCCTAACTTCCCACATGACGGACTGTTACCTGGAAAAGGAAACTGAAATAAACCATTTCCTCCCCCACTGGTTTTGTCAGGGTCTCATTACAGCTGTGGAAAGCCTGGTTAGGACTCTCACCAGAGGGGCGGCTCTGCTGAGCTTTTTGGCTGTTCTCCATTACAGCTTTGAAAGGCAGGTTAAGGGTGCTGCCACAGGTCCTCAAGACTCTTCAAGGGGCATCCAAGTTGGCCCGGGAGCAGACCTCCTAAGCTCAGGGCCTGGTTGGCCAGGCAACTGCATACAAAGAACACCTGACTGCAAGTGCCAGGGCCAGGAGAAACCTCACAGACCAGGCTCTGGTGTGGCCGGGTACACACCAGGTGTACCTTGAACAAGTCACCTGACTGCTCCAGCCTCAGTTTCCCCATCTGCAAGATAAGTAGCAGGGATGCCTTTCCCAGCAAGGAAGCGGAGACTTCCTGGCATGATGATTTACCTCATTATGAATAAAATGGAACTTAGGTGAAGCTCTCCCACGGTGGGGAATCAACTCCTAAACTGTCTCATTTTAAGCCCACGATGGGGCGTTTTGAGAATGTAGGGTTTTCACAGTGTCGCTCTCCTCCAATCGCCCCTCTCCTCAGGTATGTTCTGGATCTTCAGCTAAAGGTTCTGCTGAGACTGAGGTAGCAGGTCTCCCTGTGGTTAGCACTTTCCGCACATCTCACTCATTTAGTCCTCCCAGCTTCACCCACTTGCTCCTCTCTGACAGAGCAGAAAACTGAGGTCCAGACAGGGTGTCCAACTTGTCACGCAAGTGTTACGTGAGTGAACAAGCTGGGGGCACAAGCGTGCCTGGGAAAAGCGGCCTGAGGAGAAGGTCTGGGGAAGTGGTTGTTTGTCTCTGGGTTCCCCAGCTGGCTCACAATGGGGTTCATCTTGCTGAAACAACACTCTTTAGAGTCCAGAGCCAGATGCCCAGCAGCCAGCCAGTCAGAGGCGCAGGTAAGGTAAGGCCGGTCAGATGGAACCTCCTGAGCAAGGTTGAGAGGCTGTGCCTCCATCTCACTTAGCTCTCTTTTCCTGCTCATCTTGTCTCCCACCTTCTACCTAAAAAGTCAAAAATAAGTGTTGTCCCCACAGACCAGCCTCAGAGTCCCATTATGTCTTGGAGAAGGACCCTGGGTGGAACTTCCTCTTGCCAGATGAATCGCCTGGGTGTTTCACTTCCCTTTCTTGATGTTCCTGGCCCAGTTTCTGCACCACAGGGACTGAACACTTGTGTCTTATGCCCACACCCTTGTTGGAGAGTGCTTGTAGCAGGGTGGTAGGCAGGGGGTGTCCCATCTCCAAGGAAGAAACTCAGAAATGGTAAAGGCCTACGCCAGGCCCAGCTCTGCAGACAGAGAGGCAGTGGGCATCACTGCGGTATCCATGTGACCTATAAGGCCAGCAGACATGGGGGACACTGGGGAGGAAGCTCTTATGGAAAGAGGGACTTGGTTTTCTTCAGGCTTGAGAGACCTGTGTAGGCAGAGACTGACACATGTGAGCCTCATGGCCCAGAAGACTTGCCCTGCTGTGCACACTCATCCCGCTGTATGTATGCCGTCCCTGAGGTACCTGACTGTGGCTCCTGAGCTTCTGCTGATCCATCAGTGCAGTAGAGACTGTGGCTGTTTTCACCAAGTGGGTGCAGCGCTGACAATGAGCCTGAGGTCCAGTCCAGCTGTCCAACCGACATCTGGCTTCTTGTCCTCCCCAGGCAACCAGCTTGCCTGCCACATTCTCAGAGCTACCCCTTGGGTTACTGTTGCCACGAGAGGTTCACTGAGAATTGTCAGGAGAGAATTTGCATGGTGACATGAACATTTTAATCCTTCTTCAATGCCAGCAGGACCTAGGGCACAGGAAGTTGGGGGGAAGGATGGAGAAAGGGCCGTTGAAGGTACTAAGGCCTCATTCACTGAGCTTAACACCTTCGTGAAAGCACCCTGTTCCCAGCTGTCTGGTGGCTCTGAGGGAGAGCCTGGCTCCTTCCCACCTATCCTGAATCATTGATGACAGAACAGGAGCCTGTACTCTGTGGCCCAGCAAGCAAGGAATTGCACCAGGGGCAGACCTTGGAGGCTGGGGCTAGGCCCACTTGTGTCCTCAGCTGGCTATGCTGCAGACTCACTGTGTGACCCTGGCAAGCCTCCTTCGAGCTTCAGAGTCAATTATTTCAGCACTGACTCTCAGGTAGACAGGAAAGACCTAGGAGAGGCCGTAGAATTTCCCTGAGCTCCCCTGAGTGAGCACAGCCTCTGAGGCACTGCGCTGGAGGGCCCAGAGCACATCATCTTGGAAGAAGGCACCAGGAGAGCCTCAGGAATGAGTCTCCACTCAGGGAAAGCAGTGTATGATGGGCTCCCTCCCATTCTACCCAACCCAACTGCAGGGGGAGAATGGGACAATGGGACAAAGCCAGCAGATGGCCTTCTGCATACACTAAAGAGGCCTATTTCCATGAATAGGCAGCCCTTCCCTTCCCATGAGTATCCATGCTCTCCCTTCCCATAAATGCTCATGTTCTCCCTTCCCATGAGTGGCCATGCTCTCCCTTCCCTTCCCATGAGTGGTCATGCTCTCTTTTCCCTTCCCATGAGTGGTCATGCTCTCCCTTTCCTTCTAATGAATGTCCATGCTCTTCCTTCCTTTCCCAAGAGTGGCCATGTTCTCCCTTCCCTTCCCATGAGTGGCCATGCTCTCTTTTCCCTTCCCATGAGTATCCATGCTCTCCCTTCCCCTGTGTTTCACTCACTTCTGAGATACCCTGGAGATTCTCCATTACTTATGGCTTTCTTGACCAACCCCAGACAGTTGAGAGGAATCTCCTAGTCTAGGAGCTCCCTGGTAGCAACTCTCTGCCCTCAGAGGGGAGAAGAAAGTTGTTAATACTCTGTGGTCTCTGGAATAGTAGAGACTGGGAACACCCAGACCCAGGAAACCCTGCTGTCAAGAGGCCCCTCTAGAGGGGGTACCAGTTTCACAAGTCTGTCAGTGGGCTCCACTTCTGCAAAGGAGATGACACTTTCAGTTCTTTCCTAGAGTGAAAAGGGAAGAACGATAGAAGTGACGTGTGCTCTGACCCAGTACAGTCCTGAACTACTAAAAAGCCTGCCCAGGCATTGCCCCAACCCTTCCTGCAGAGAGCACACAGCTGCAGAGTTAGTGCCAGATGTACCCGGCAGTAAGGTAGGTGAAGGTTGGAGGGACCTGCACCCACAGGGAGGCTGGGGGGACTACAAGGAGGGCCCCTGGCCAGAGCCAGCATCATTCTGTTTGTCAGCCGGGGGGGCCATTAAGAGGTTGGGGTTTCTGTTCTCCCAGATCAACTGGGATCCAAGACAAATAAGTCTGCTTCTGCAGGAGTACTGTCTGGCAGAGAGCAGGCTCCCATAAGTTTTAAGTGCCCAGTAGCACAGAGAGATCTCACAGAACCATGTTCACTTTCAATACCCCTGGGCCATGCACTGACTTCTAAAGGATACAGATACACCCTGTGTTCTCACCAGGCCTGAGGGCACTGTTGCCCAGCCCTCAATCCTGGGCTCAACTTGCACCAAACCTCAGGAAGAAGCATTCTTTGGGATCAAAGGGTGCCCAAAGAGGTGTGCCTGTCTGCTTGGTAGGGGAAGGATATCTTCAGGGGCCTAGGCCTCCCTGTCAACTAGATCCCCACTGGCATACTACATTTAGAAAGCAACAGGACAAAAATTTGGCAACTTAGCACAAGCTTCCTATCCCGTAGCCTTTAAGAACTATGCTCCCATTTATGGTTGACTGAGATATCACTCATTTTATGTGGATGTCTCCTTACCTGGCAGGTGTGCCCCAAATACCTGCTTTGGCCAGATGCTGTATGGACTGCCTGGTGGGTCACACTCTACCCCTGGGAGACCTCAGGGGACCAGGAGAGAAGCCTACAGAACTCTTGGGGGGGGGGGAATGCAAATATGGACGGGTGGGGGTTGGCCAGGTGCCCTTGTGGTTTATGTAAGAAGAGACAAGGTCACCTTTCTCATGAAAGAAAACATTTGAACTGGGCCCTGAAAGATGAGCAATGTTTTCACACAGAGTTTAGGATAGAACACACCTTGTTAGCAGAAAAAAATATTGCCGGCCAAAGCCAGGCAGTAGAGAAAGACTATAATTATTGTATAGCTCCTTGGTCCCTGCAGAAGGTGGTGGCAAACCCTGGGTCGTGCAGGGCAGGTAGACACTGTATAATAGATGTGGTATAGATGCGGCAGAGTCTGTGTTCGTCAAAGCCAGGCAGGAACCAATCGAGCCATGGGATGGGGCCCTTCCCATGTGCCCCTCAGACACTGAAGGACAAATTCCTGGAGGTGCATCTGTGATACCTTGTGTGCACTTCCCGGAGCCCCTGAGGGGTCTCCAACAAGCCAGATTTCCCCTCTGTTCGCTGTCTCCACCAGGATCTGCCTTCTGCCCAGACATTCAGGAGAGGCGAGCGCTGAACATAGTGGGGTTACTGGAAACACTGAGAAGGAGCTATCTTTACCTTCCGTGGGGTGTTCAGGACCTTTTCATGTTGCTCTGTACCTCCACAGAGGGAAGCACCATACCTGTCCCCTCCAAAGGGGTATTCCCAAGAGCACAGGCCGGTCTCCACAGCACCTGGACTGATAACCTGGCTCAGAGGAGGACTCTCAAGGGTACGAGAAAGCCTGTCATGTCTGCTCGTCTCTTCCTAAAAAGCAGGGACAAACTGCCTCCAGATGGCCCATAGACTATCAGGCTCCACCCTGTGAGCTGGTAAGATTAACCCTTGTCTGGAAGGACAGACACACCCGTACTATAAAACAGTGCGATTCAGAGTGGATTCAACAGCGTGTCCTGTTGGAGTGTGAGGAGGTGGAATTCCAGCACTTGTGCCAGCCTCTGCTCCATCCAGCTCGGACAGAATGACCGTATCCATTTAGGCATGGTCCTCCTTGACAAGATTTGGCCCCAGGATCCTCAAAGTGGGCAGCCTGTCTGGGCTCAGAAAGCTACAGAGGTGTGTCTCTGTCACATTCTTCCCAGGGTCTCCTCTATGGAGAGGCCCCTCACAGCCCTGCACGTGAGCTTATACCACCCTACACAGGGCCCGGTCACCTTTGCCAAAGTCCCCCTGCAGCTGCAGCATGATGCCAGCCGGATGCTGGTTGGGCGGGGGCAGGACACCCACCTCCAGCTGCAGCTGCCACAGCTGTCCCGCCACCATCTGTCCCTGGAGCCCTATCTGGAGAAAGGCAGCACTCTGCTAGCCTTCTGCCTCAAGGTTCTGACCCGCAAGAGCTGTGTGTGGGTCAACGGGCTGCCACTGAGGTACCTGGAGCAGGTCCCCCTGAGCACTGTCAACAGAATCTCCTTCTCTGGCATCCAGATGGTAGTCCGCAAAGAGGGCGGCACCTCCCTGGAGGCCTTTGTCTGCTACTTCCATTTCAGCCCTTCACCCCTGATTTACAGACCCAAGGCCCAGGAGACAGACGAATGGGAAAACATTGTTAAGAAAGAGACTCCCCCTGTTTTGGGGGAGGCAACTCATGATCTCCTGGGGTCTCTCCACGGCTCCTCCCAGACTCAGACAGCTGTTTCCCTGCCAAGCCCTGGAGAAGCAACAGAAACAAAGCTCCAGAGGGAGCCAGAAGACGCGGCACCCCGCCAGCCCTACTGCTGAGAGCAAGCCTTGCTGAAATGGGGTTGAAATATTTGAGCTACATCGTGCGAGGTTAACACGCAAAGTTCGCATGCAAGGCCACTGGCCGCTCTGCTCACGGGGAACTGATTCTGTAAACTCGGAGCAGTCCAGGGGTATAGAGGTGCCCTCCATGGCTCCGGGTAATGGGAACTTCATATAATTTTAGAGGCCCTGAGGGGTTCTGGGGAGCCTCTGCCAGCACCCCCCCATTTCCTCCCTTGTCTGGCTAGGGGGTTACTTTATGTTGCTCATTTCACATGCTGCTTAAGAGCAGAAGGGTTGCAGCAGGAATGCAAGGGCGTGTGGAGAAATTACGTTTGTGGTAGCTCTGGGTTGCCTTCAGCTTTCGAATACCCACAGGCGCTCAGGGCTTAGGAGAGCCTGTGTTTAATAAACTGAAAGTATTTCATTAAGCTGGCATGCCCAGCAAGATTCCCTGAGCCCAGATGGGCCACATGTAAGCCGTGTTGTCACGTGGCCCTGGGGCCCGGATACCTGGAAGAGGTGTGAGTGGAAATGGGGAAGGTAGGCAGGAGCTTGCGTTTCTGGGAAGGCAGCAAGTGGATCTCAAGGCTTCCAGGAGGAAAGCTAGAAGCTAGGACTGCTTGGAAACTTCCTGTCCTCCTCTTCTCTTTTCTTCCTTTCCTTCTTCCCCTGTTTTCTTGTTCCTTCTGCTCTCCTTCCATTCTCTGTCACTTCTGAATCAAAGCCTTGATTGGCCAGAGGGCAAGGATCTTCAGGGAAAGATGGTTCTCTAGAGAAGTAGGCTCTTTCAGAACTAAGTCTATGGTTGGAGTGCAAGGTTGTGTAAGAAGTCAACCCAGCAGTTATCTCACTCAGAGTAAGTCAGATGCCAGCAGGGGTGGGGGAGGTATCTTATCTGAATGGAGGTGGGGATGGGGGGGTTGTTAGGAGCCAAGCAGGTAAGGACGGGGGAATTTTCTCAGTGAGAAGGGGACCAAGGGCTAGCAACGGCTTGCCATTCAGAAATGGTGTTTACTCATGGGATGGCAGGAGTGTGCCACAGACTCCGCCAATCACCATAACCCCAGACCCTGCACTTGGGCACCCAACACACGAGGGTGTAGTGCTGCTGGCAGACTAATACCCCACCCTGTGGGCGTCTGTGCCACCCCTGTCATCTACCATCCCTGCCCCTTTGTGCCCGAGGCGGATTATAGGAGGCTCAGCACTGCTTCCCTGCCCGTAGAGAAAATAACACTGGACCAGACCTACCCAATCCCTGCTCGGGAAGGTCCCTCCTCCAACAGGATGTGAATGGAGTACACTCAGGCAGGGCTGAGGAGGACATGCTCTGCCTTCGGGGGTTGCCGGCCATGTTATGAATACACCCTCGAGACTCCCAAAGCAGTTGCTTCCTCAGTTACCAACGGACGTGCACCAAACATCCACCTCACGCCAAATGAGTACCCACTCTCAGGATCCAGGAAAAAAAAACAAAGAAAGCCAAGAAAATCTGCACTCTAGCAGCTTGCTGGACTCCGAAATGAGAAGCACTTGGGATCAGATGACTTAATTATTTTATCACAGCTATTGTGATTGTATCTTCTCTCTCCTCTAGCTGGGCTTGAGATTAGCCCTATCATTGGGTGGATTTGAAGGTGATGCTTGCTATATATCCCTCCCTCTGCTAAGCAGGTCACAGTGTGATAAGCCATGGGACACTGCCACTAACACACACAGTTCTCACACTCCCCCAGATAGACACTGGTCTCACACACAGCTCACAGGTAAGGAAAGTCAACTAGCTAGGGCCATGTCACGGGTGAGTCTGGTGACCTTGGGCAAGCGATTTAGCCAGACACGCCCTCGGATTCTATCTCAGGAAAGCTAGGAAGATAGGCATACCTGCCTGTCAGAACAGTTGGGCGGCTCTTAGGAGGTGGGGCATGGGAAATGTTTAGTGCCATGCCTGGCACACAGCAGCTGCTCAAAAAAGGCCAGCCACCATCCTGAGACCAAAGACAGGGAAAGCTAAAATATACAAATCCCAAAGCTTATCACAAACAAGGAACTTGGGGTGACTTGAACCCAAGTGATCTGGCTCCAGAGCCTAAGGGCTTTCAGCACTCTGTGACTCTCTAAGGGTTTCATTTCTATTTGGGGCCTGAAGGGAGGAGGTTTTATATCAGAAGGTCTTGGTGTAGAACGAGAGACACTATGGGCACTGGAGAAGAGAAAGTACCTGTAGGTTCAGGCTGGTGCTTTTCACAGGTCCCTGGAAGATTCAAGTGCTGTCCAGAGCAGCTGCCACAAAGCCTGGGGAGCCATTCTTAGACCACGCATGACCACCAAAGGCAGAAGGCACCAGGGTCTTTACTTGCAGCTCCTGAACTCGCAGCACAGGCTACAGCTGCTGACTGCCTCTCTCCATCCTCTCCCTTCCAGGAGACCCCATCCCTGCCAGGGGTCCCTATGATAGAGCAGAGAGCTTCCTCCACAGGGACTGCATTGTTGGAATATTTTGGGTGAAGCGTCTGTGAGGTCCTCACTCTGAAAAGTAGGCTAAAGGATGACAGGCCAGACACAGGAAGGGGAAGAGCCAGGAAACATCTGGCTTGTTTCTCAAAGTCTCCTCAGGAAAGTTTCTTCCTCCTCCTCTTTTTCTTCCTTTTTAAAAAAAGTTTTCATATATATATTCATATATATATATATATATATATATATATATATATATATATATATATATATATTAAGACAAAGTCTCACTGTGAGGCTCATAGTAGCCTTGCATGCGCTGTCCTGCATCTGCCTCCCAAATGCCTCAGTTACAAGTGTACGCCAACCACCCCTGACTTGTGTCAAGTACTCAAGAGAGCAAACTCCGCTAGACCCCACTTCTCGTGAAAAGCATAAACAAGCCTCAAGCCGGCAGCTTCACGGCCCCCTCCCACTTCCCTAGCACTTGAAATCTGCAAGGTGATCTCAAGACCCTGGTTTGCAGATTTGACATCACCATCACTTACTTCTCTCGCCTGTGCAGGATCCCTTCTAAGCCTCTCATCTGCGTGTGCTCAGCTTCCCGCTCCCGGCAGGGTAGCCTGTGTGGCCACAGGGATGAGCACATGGACGCATACACAGCGTACAGACATACAGACACCCATATGCACAAAACCCGGGTGGCTTCAAGCTGCGTTCTGGTCAGCCTGCTGTCTGGGCTACAATTCATGCTGCTCCCTCCATCATCCCATGGTCTTTGGACCTGTGGCTCCTGCATTAGTGCCCCTGTAGAAGTAAACAAAGGCACTTCGGGTAAACTTGTCTGTGGCACACAGTCTGGGAGGACAAGAGAGAGAGCTGTCTCTCACTCTCCTGCCCCAGTGGGCAGCCCAGGGCTTCAGAGAGCATGGCAATGTTTCCTTTGTCTTCCTCCCTCCTTGAGCTTCTGCACCCCACCTCAGCTGGAACCTGGGTTTGGGGCATGTGCATGATGAATGTGTGATGGGGAAGGAGAGACAGCTCCCCCTCATCAGCACTTCCAGCCTCCAATAGAGGTGCAATGGGGCAGGCTCTCCCAGGAGACCCCAGGAAGGGCTCTTGGCCAGCTGGCTAGACTGAGGCCAGGCCACCTGCCAAATCTCCTGTCCCTGGCCCCCTCTCCCAAGCACACACCAGAAATACCCATCTTGCTATGTCAGCTTGCCTACTACACACACACCAGTACCACCTGAGACCACAGGGCACCAGAAGGCCACCTGGCTAGAGGCCTGAACAGAACAGTTGTTAACTGGAAGGAATACTGGTTGGTACACAGACGGGTAGCAGTCATTTCTGCCAGCTGGGCACTGAGGGAGTAGTTGCTCCATCGATGTGTAAGTAAAGCCTTAGGTGAAGGGTCCAGTTTTAGGCCTTCCGGTATGTGGTAGAGCTGGAGACATGGATTGAGAATCGTTTCTATCACTGCGCACTGCACCATCAGGCTGCCGTCAACCGAGAGGTTCAGAAGCAACCAAGCCGGCCTCAGTAAGTGTAGATGGTTCCTAGCTACCTCTGCTGCCCAGAAACCAGCCCAAGCTGAGACACCCACCTCCTCCTCCATCCACTGGTTCCAGCCCTTGGCCTCTCAGTGATCACTCTGCGGCCCCAGGCCATCTATCTAGCCAAGACTTGGGGGAGGGGTTAAGCCCTAGGAGGAGATTCGGATTTTAATGAACTTGGTTCACATTGCAAGGCTCTGATTCCTCTTACCTTTACCGTGAACTCACAGGCGGATTAAAGTGAAATAAAACTTACTATTTGAGTTACATTTTCAGCTTATTGAAAACATGTATTACCTCCTTGTGACTGGGCCGTGAGAAGGGAAGTTATTATCGTTCTTCAGAGTTTGTAAATGCTTTACGGCTGAGATACTAAGCCTGCTTGGGGCGGGGGTGGGGGGAGGCGGATGATGGAGTAAAAATTGTTCCCACTTACCTTTGCTTTCCAATCCCATGCTCCAGTGGGGAGGAAGCATCCCAGGTGACCGATGGGGAGCCAGGTGAACCCCGGCAGAGGAGTGTAATTACTTTCTTCTTTAGGCATTAAAGCGCCCTTTGGCAAGGGAGCTTGCTCCACTCTCCAGAGAGGCTGCAACTCACCCATCCCCATCCCATCCTCTTCCTGTTCTTTTGGTATTTGTTTCTAGGAGAAAAATGGCCTCCAGCCCCATGGCGACAATAGCATCTTAGGAGTATTTGTGAGGGGCACCGCTTTAGACATTTGGGAACAAGAAGGAGGCAGAGAAAGGGCAGATCTGAGTCAAGATCGCATCCGTGAAGAATAAAGAATGCACATGTGCAACTGGCTCTAGAGAAGCGGGAGATTCCTCTCTTCCCCTGTCATTTCCCCAATCCCTCTGCATACTGTCAACACAGAGAAGCCCCCAGATTCCAGACTTGGAGGTCCAGCTTTCTGACTCCTGGAAGGAAGCCTGCCCAAGATGTCTGCTCTGCTTTCTCTTAAAACTGTGGAGGCAGGGGGTCAGGGAAATCTTCAGAGTAAAGCAGAGGCTGCCTGAGAGGCCAGTGCTCAGCTGGGCAGCCAGATCTGACATTTCTGGGCTTGCTTCTCCGCAGGGTCAGATACCATGGTGCTATTCTCCCAGAGAGCATGTCTCAGATGGGCTGGAACAGGAATACTGTTAAGTAGCCTATTAAAACCCTGTTTGGAGGGTTTTAATCATGCAGGACCAAGTCAGGCAAACAAAACCAGAGAAAGAGAGAGAGAGAGAGATTCTTCAGACAAGTGGGAAAATTGCTAAGAATCTAAACAGGAAGCAGAATTCAGAGATCGACCTGCAAAGACACTGCTAGCTGCACTCCTGTAACTGGAGGAGAAACTAAGAGAAGAGGTGTAAGAGAAACTGGAGTAGGCCCTGTCCTGAGCTGCTGTGAAGGTCTCTTGTGGAAATGGAGGACTCTGTGAGAGAGTCTGCTTGTGGCCAGCTGAGACTACAAGTTGGTGGGAAAAGGCAGCAATGGCGGGGCTTCTCTCCTTTTCACGACCCTCCTTCTCTTTAGCAGTGTTATGCCCAGATTACCAGGAGTAGTATCGTAAGTTTTTAGTCCTCAAACACATTAGAGATCTGAGAAGAATAAACTGTTAAAATGACAGAGGCTTACCCATTACCCAGATGGCTGCTATCCCATGATGTTGGTAGCTTCGCTGGGGGCACAAGTCCAGTGCTGTGTCAGTCTTCGGCTGTCAGGCTCGGCAAATCTGAAAGGCCTTTTTGGGGGAGGAACATGGGAGAGACTGACCTCACGTTGTCTTAGGCAACACGGGACAATTAACTCTCCAGGTGTCCTTTTTGTCCACAGTTCAGGCTGGGCCTTGGCAGCAGCAAGGC